AGTTTAGGATGTCCAGCCGTTTGCAAGCATCACAATAGCCCCGACCACAAGCGCTACACGCACTCAATAAAGCTGTCGCTTGGCAAGGTTCGGAACAGACGCCCCAGTGAGATTATCGGGTGTCAACTTCCATCTGGCATTTGTCAGAGCTGGGAAGGAAAAAAAGAGGCAGGTCTTATCAGATCTCCAAATAAAAAGAGCACTTCCACTTCATGTGGTAGCAACTGGAAAAATTTCTTTGTGTTTGAAGCTTTAAAAATATCTTGCCCTTGAGGTTGGCTAAGTCTGTGCAGTGCTTCGAGACCCCTTTCCCATACAAAGGTAATAAAGCTCAGCTTATGGTTACCGAAATTCCCAGCACATAAAAATTACAGGAAGCTGTTGCTAAGTAGTATTTCTACCTAAGTAAACATCACAAAATGTTTCCCACACACACCTCTGAACTTTATTATTCAAATCTGCCTTGAAGATGTTCGTCGTTGCAGGATTTCTTCTGGCACCAGTCTCTTTAAAAGCTGTTTCACAGCAGTTGAAAAACACTTCAGGCTGAGCAACGTTTTTCTGAGTGCTTTGTTGTGTTGTTTGTACTAAGAAACAAAGCAGGCTACTAAAGCAAGTCTTCAGATCCTTACCTGTCCCCTACCTATCCCATTATTTTGCCTGGACAGGTCACAGGAAAAGGAAAGAGATTCGGCTGTAACCCCAGTCTCCAGACCTGCTTACACACCATAAAAAAATCCAGACAAGCATCATTATTTTCATACAGTGCCTTTCTTTAGCAGGTCCTTTACATGCCAATTACTCCAGACTGTTATCACTACTACCTGCTCTATTTTGTCCTCTTCAACTGGCCCAAGTGGTTTTATTTACCTTCCTCTTCCTTTTAATGAGGTTAATATTTTGCAAATTTGTGATTACACTGATTGAGAGAGATAAGTTTTGTTTTTAATCACATAAAGCAATAGTTTGAAGAAAGAGTCTGAAATAGCCCCCCCACACTCTTAGTAACTCAAATTCCTACTTAGCATGAAGTCCCGAGACCACAAAGATAAAAGAATCCTGCAAAGGTTTCATTCGGAATGAACAGGAGAACTTGATTTTCACTGCTTGTATTTCAGATATTTGTCCTTATATCCCAGGAATGTGGCCCTTCAGTAGTCACCAAGGGACTGGCTGATATTACAGATTGCTTTCCTGTTAATTTTTATTTGGCCATTCCATTTTTCCTTCCTACTACCTTACTCTACCTCTAGATGACCCGACACGCAAGTTAAAGGCTGAATTGCTTTTACAATGAGACTGTCGAAAACATCAGACTGCTTCGAATTACGTATGGACAGGGAAGACTGACTGCAGAGAGAATTGGCAGGAAATCCTATTTCACAGGGAATTGTTCCTTCCGTAAGTGGAGTGACAGACATATAGCATTTTTATTACATTAAAAAAAAAAAACCACGTGGAAAAAAATGCAAAATATGAAAATCATGTTTGGCAAATCTGAACTGAGGTCTAGGACGTGGCATTTCCAGCATTTTTGTTGTCTGAATTCTTCAGCAACGGCGCTCTCTGCATGAACATGCTGCGCTGAACTAAGAACTACATTTTTATGGCAATGAAAATAAGAGTATGTATATATAAAAAGGCCTTACAAAAACGTGGGCTGAAAAGGTACAAAACCTCCAGAATAGGCACAGCCCTTGGCTGCCATAAACAGCACAAGGCTAGACCCAAATTCCAAACAGACTACATATTTCTCTCCCTTCCTACCCAAAATACAACGTGAGTTGGCCTTAGCTGAACTGACTTGCTTCTCACACCAAGACAAGTGATTTTGAAAAAAGGAAAGGAAAGCTTGCAGGAAACACATCCTGACCAATCTCGATTTTTGGTATATCCACCTACACGTCTTCATACTCAGACAGAGATTCCTCAGCATCACGAGTTTGCTGTTTCAAAGCACACGGCTGCCCACAAATCATTTCAGTTCCTCCCGACTGGCTTCATGCACAACCTTAGCTCTAAGGTCTGTAAGAAGATCTTCACTTTGTTGTCTTCAACGCGTTATCACCAACTGAAAAAAAATTCTGGGCTGGAGTTCGAGCTGCAAGTATGATTCAGAGACTTGGAAGTGTGCCTCCGAGATAATTACATGCTGTAACTGAAAGTTAGTTTTGGAGTCAACTGGGATCTCTGTGCTGATTAAAAGACAGAAATACCAAAGACGCATGCTCAGCGTGAGATGTGGTGGGGATGGCACCCAAGTGGCCATGGGCAGCAGGCACAAAAGGGCCAGGGACTGGTGTGGAAGGGATGGGGGACACCAGGGGACCCCCTTTGGTCCTGACCATTCCCACCTCCCTCCCATCATGTTCAGCTTCTGCACGGTGCCATCCTCCAAACTTCACGCACATCTTCACGAGGTTCCTGCTCATCTCCCTCGTTTCTCCAGCAAGATTCAAAGGCTGGCAAAGCAGATTTAGCAGGCTGGCAAAGCTTGCCAACTTGTGACCTTTCCCTGTTGAACTGACACACATTCTGTAGCATCAAAAGAAGCGGTAGTTGAGTATTCCTGAAGTATGTTTTTCTGGCAGACAGAACAGCAAAATATCACAGTCCACAGTCCCAGGGCAGAACTATCACGCAGGGCTATCAGCCTTTGGTGTTTAGACCTCAACAACTTCCCATCCGGAGAAGGAAAATAGAAAACTACAAAACTGAGGTTTTATGCTAAGTTCTGTGAAAAGTGCATGAACACAAACATCAAAAACCTGCGCTAAAACAAACAAAACCCAACTTCCCCCCAGAAAATTATACTGAAACTTCTGCATTTCATCCCACCACTGAAAAAAAAAAAAAAAGCAGCTAAAAAAGAAGAGGGGAAAATACTTAAAAACCCAAATGATGTGAGACTTCAGCAAGCTCAACGAGACAGCATTAGCTGCAGAAGATTCCCGGATAAGCTGCGTAAATGCAGAGGGAAAGACTTCCTGACATTAATACCCTCAGTGCTGGGTGTTACTCTGAGCTCTTCAGGCAAAGGAAAGCCAAAGTACAATTCACACAAGCTTATAATAATCTTGACAAAACAATTACACATGCTAAGGATACGTTAGGGCTGGCAAAAGAACAGAGAAGGCAGCGATTCCACTAACAGATACACTAAATAAATGCCCCGATCTCTCCCATAGCTACTAGAGTGCGTGTACTGGAAGTCTAAAACCGTCAAAAAAAAGCTAACACATCTAAAAGAGTACCGAAGAACAGTTAAAATAGCTTCTGAGGTATAGAGGCAGGTGTCACCAGGCACAATGTAATGCAGATACCATCTCGTTGAGAACACCAGCTACCAATGAAAGCACAAAGCTTAGCATTCAAAACAAAGCTAAGTAGGAGTAAGTGCTTTTGAAAATGCACATCAGTTACAGCCAAAGTATGCAGGAGCCCGGCTTCTCTACATTTTCTCAAAAGGAACACAGAAAACCAGATGGAGAATTTGCATAGAATTTCTTCTGAAATCGTTTCCGAATTCAAATTTCAAATTCAAGTCGAACGGATTTATTAGGCTGGCTTCTTTAGGTACCTAAGTGCATGATCACGTACAGTATCCTCCGATAAATTTAGCTGAATTTGTGTGAGAGGCTGAGGAGCTGAGATTTCTGCCCCTAAGGTAAAATATTACATTCCTACAGGTTTCGTGGAAATAGGCAGTTACATAAAGGAGAGAAACCATACATTCCAGTCTGCTGTAGCACAGCCCCAGAAGATTCACAGGAATGAGGGACATTATGAATGGTCCAGCCACAGAAAACGTTTCAGTTAGGTCTTTAACCCCATGAAATAGTAGAAACTGCAAAACAGGAACGTGTAAGAAACCAGGTTTCGGTGCTGATAATAACTGCACACCAGAAGAGTTTAGAAACTAAAGTGCTTTATAACCTGAGTTTTCATTTAAAAAAAGAAACACGCATACACTCCTGCATGTTCTTGCTCATACCCTGTTATTCCGGCAATAAAAAATAACCACTTTCTTTAAAAGGAAGCTAGACAATTTGGGGTGAGGAGTAGCAGAGGGGAAACCACATTAATTTCATTAGTGTATGCATACTGCTAGGAATTCCTTCTCAAATTTGGCACTTAGCACTCAGAGTTGCCCTTTAAAGCTTGGCAAGAAATGCTCTCCAGCCCGCAAGTTTCCTAATTTCGTCTTAGGACACACTGCTTCATTTGGATGCACTACCTCCAAGACAGACAGCTCTGAATGTGTCAGTTTTACCTCAATTCACTTTGCTCCCCGTCAGTCATAACATAAATCAAAGCAAATATATAATTAAAACTAAACTTAAGGTCGGCTCCAAGCTTGGAAAAAACAAATCTGTATGAAATTAAAAGCAACCCTAACACAGTTTCAGACCTGGGGTTCAGGGGTTAGGACAGCAGCTGCCTTTCTGAACACACCTCTCTCTCTGAACCAAAACCCGAGCCTGAAAGTGCGATTTCTTGTCCCTCCCCAAGACTCCTGCAATGGGCAGGCACTGCCCAGGACCTCTCTTTTTCCTCCTTTTCCTTTTCTTCCAGTCCGATTCGGCTTCCAGCTTCTCACTGTGTGCAAACACTGCTCACCCATCCACCTATCTTGCACCTTTTTATGACCGGATGGTTTCAGTAAAAATATAATTGCGCTCTTCCGGAGTCAGGTTTATTCCTGAAAGACCTTTCCTGCTGCTTTGTTTCCGTCTTTCAATCAACCTGGACTTTTAATCCCAAAGCCAAGCCCCAGAAGTACTAATACCACTAACCAGTACACAAGATAACAGCTATACTCACAGCACACTAAACCAGGGAGCTCTAGGCGGTCCCTGACTTTCTAGAGAAATGAAACACGGCATTTTTGGGCTCACTATTCACACAGGTGATTAACAGCTGACGTCTCAGCTCCCAGACAGATCTGAGAGGTTAAAACCCACGCTGAAAGCACACCACTCACCGCCCCGCAGACCCACCTCTCTGGCAGCGGTCGTGGGTCCAGCAGCGCTCGATGAAAATGCCGTTGATCACGGTGGGCGGGCAGTTGCTTTTCCCTTTCACAGTGCCCGGACACACATCTCCACACTCTTCTTTGTCATCCTTGTTGGCGACAATGTAGTTGTCTTCTACAGAATCCAAAATCCTCGACCAGTCGATGGTGGACAAGTAGCACAATTCGTTGTTCTTCTCGATCCGCACGGCGCCTCGAGTGATGTTCATCAGGTTGTAGAGGCCGATCTCCTTCAGGTGAACCATCTCAAAAATGACGAGCGCGTAGTTAAAGAACAGATGGGTTCCTCGAATCACAGTGAGGTTGGGGAAGAGTCCCTTTAAGCTCTCCAGGCCATAGACGCGAAAAAGCAGCAAGTAGTCTGTAATCATAGTCAGTTTGGGAAAGCTGAGCTCGCGGAAATCTTCAGGCTTGGTTTTAAACATCAGCAATATTTGCAAGTGGCCCTCGATCACAGTGCAGTTCTCAAGCATGTTCAGCCGGGTCAGATTGTTGCGAATGTCCATGCTTCTGCAAACTGGAAGGCAAAGAACAACGCTACTTACTTATTTTTTTAAAAACAGTTTTCCAAATACACCCATTTTTCCAACCGTGCCATAATATATCGCTACGTTCAGAACACACAGCCAGGGCCTTTTCAATAAAAGCACGCTTCGAGCGTTAAGAAATACACTGTTGGGAACGCTCCCTGGTATAGGGTTACAAAATATGAACTGAAAGAGTATTTCATAATTTTTTTTTCCTGCCATCTTGAGCTGCTGGATATTACCCCTATCACGACCGGAGCGGCAACAGCAGCCCGCAGACGTCATTCAGCGTTTACAAAGTAAGAGGTGTCCATGCAACAGAGTCTGTTTTCTTTAGATAGTTGCCAGCGACACACCTACCTCATCCCAGATTGTGCAATTAATGCCACTGGATTAGAGGGAGTAATTTAGAATGGTTGCAGGGAGGGAAGAGATAGGAAAAGAAGAATGGGGAGGAAATGGCAGTGCTCGGGAAGGGAAAAAACTGGAAATCCACATGGAAGATGCAGCCTCAGCTCTCGCCCAGACTTTGCTGATGAGTAATTTACTACACCAGTCATTTGTGCCCCGAGCATTCTTTTCAGGTTAGGCGTTTTGTTGTTGGGTTGTGGTTTTTTGTTATTTTCTAAAGGTTGCAAATCTCCCTGCCTTGGCTACCTGGACAGTTTGTTGAGCAGAACCAGTAACCCAAGGAACCGGCAGAGCAAACAAGGATACGAAGCCTGGGTTAGAAGGGAAACAGAATAACACGAACCCAGGCAGCAGCAAAAGTAGGGACAGAAAGAAACAAGTCTGAATGGGGAAAATTTGAATTCTAATTACAGGTAAGGAAATCTAGAGCACCATGTCCACACAACACAATGAAAACCCCAGCGATAACCCTTTAGAAAAACAAATTTCATGAAAGATACAGCCAGCCCTTAACACTCTGGGAGAACATCAGAGGAAAGGGAAGCCTGTCTGGTGATACAAGCATGCCAGACAACCACTTCCACCTGCCCAGGTGGAAATATTTAATTTTAAGACTGCATCCACTTTAGGAGTCCTCTTTTGACTACAGCAGAGACTTGCCCCTGCGCACACACACACACTCCCCTTGAGAGTTAAAAGCCCAGCACATTTACTTTTCTTTGTTCCTATGTATAAAATTAAACTTCAAGAACACACTCAGCAATAATCAGGGCTTCCAGAATTAACATATGCCCAGATGTTTGATGGTTACAATCGCCTGACTCCTCCCGGCTGTACAAAGACCACTGCTGTGCGGGTTAAAAATAAATTCTATGCAAACGTCTTAATGATTATTCAGAAATCTGCTCCACTGCAATAAAAAATAAAACTGGCAGCACCAATATAGGATCCGGAGCAATGTTATTGCCCAATAGGATTTTTGGCACCGTATCCAAGTCGTTTCATAAATTTCTTTCTGGAAGAAATAGCTAATGCACACTGCACCAGGGATCGCGGGTGTTCCTAAGGTGGGGAAGGAAATCTGAAGACCGCATAGGAGCAAGAAACACCGCAGAAAAATGGGAAGCAAACCAGAAAGCTCGTTGTCCATCCCAGGCAGGGGATCAAAGAACTGGGGGAGCAATAGCTTTGGTTTAAGGAAGGTTTCTTGTTATTTAACTTAATCAATTTTGACGAGTATCTCCAAGGGAGGGGGCGTGCGACACGGCCCCATCACCTGGGCCTTTCTGCAAGAGCTGCAAGCCTCCAAGTTACATGTCTGAGGCTCAGATCAAGAAGCAAATAAATTGTCAGCCCTGATGGGGGAAGGAAAAACCTTGAAGAAATGCCATCAGCATAAGGAGGATTTTTTTTTTTTTAGTAACAAGTAAAATCAGCACATTCGCATGTTATTCCAAACTTAAGCTGCCTATGCTGGGAAGCAATTAGCTGCTTTGCAGCTTCTAACGAGCTCCTGACATTCAATCAAGAAGGAGCAATTGGTGGGAGCATAATCACTGCTGATCAACTGGTGCCAAATGGAAAAGCTTCAACAAATCTAAAGCTGTGCAGAAGGACAGAATAATTCCCAGCCACACACAGACTGGGAAGGAGAGAAGGTTCGGGGACTTCTCCCTGGGCTGTTTCTTACTGAAAGGCTTGCATGTTTCATTGCCCAAGAGAATATATTCTATTAAGGTCAAAAATTTTAATCAAGAACGCATATATATTTTAAATCATTCCCAAAAAAATCCTGCATCTATGCCAGTAGCTTCTTTGGGAAAGGACCAATAACACTCAAAAACATTGAAATTCAATGTACAAGTCACCAATGGAGCTAGAACTATCTGGTAATGCAAAATCCACCTCCTTGTTTCTTAATTACTGCTTGCAAAGCACAGAGGTGAAATAACAGCAAGCTGACCGAGGTGGTACTCACGAGCAATTGCTCCATCACAGACCTTGCAGAAATGGACAGACCAAAAAGATACGGCTCAACCCTGCAGCCGAAGAATTACTTCTGAGAGTGAAAGCTCCAGGCTTTTATCATGGCTTAAGGCCACAAAAAGCACCTACACACTCCATGTAGTCACCCGAGTCTTTCATCATCATTCTGAAGGGAATTGGGTAAGTCACCAGAAACCGGCCCTGCCCCAGGCACTCAGCCCCCAGCATGGAGAAGGAAAGAAAAGAAAGCAGCTCAAAGGCTTTCCTCTCTCCTCCAAAAACATGATTTAGACACCCAGGCAGGGTACAAACCACCCTCACCTGCAGCGTTCCCCCCACTGCAGCTCGCAGAGAAGGCAGCCAAAGGCTGAGACAGACAAATATTTTCACAAAGTGTGTGAAAGCAAAAAAAAATTAGCTGAAGCTAAATCTAAAAAGAGGCAGGTGATGCTTGTGGGTAAACAGCAAAGCATTTTGAAGAGTTAATTAATTGTATAGATCTACCAGAGCTGGAAGGACACATCCACAGTCCATCAGCTCACTTGGCTTTTTAGAACTATTTTTGTATTTTGGGCCAATTCTCAACTCTCACACAGAGAGCATTATTTGTGAGCAGTGCTGCCAGCACAGACCAGACAGGAGATTCCACACGCCCTGGCAAACCAGGATGTGACCCGAGTTCTTCAAACTCTGCTGCTTTCAAACCTGAGCAATAGCATGTCATAAACCGGCACGTTGTCTGCTGGCCTTAGGGGGTTCCAGCACCGAGAGCTTCTGCCCAAGCCCTTTTCATGGAAGGAGATGTCAAACACTGCAACGTTAGCCTGGCAGAGAAACTTAAAAGGAATTTCAATCAAATCACATGCTCATTTCCAAAACAAACAATTGAATAAAAGGCTACTATGATTGGAAATCTACAAAGATTAAGGGGCTTTATCCAGCTTTTTCCACATTCAGAGAAAATTACATTTAAGAATTATTTTTCATTATCTACTTCAGTTTAGTTTTTAAGTGATAAGTATCACCACAGAAGCTGAACCTAATTTTTAATTCCTCGGACATAGAGGAGAAGGAGTTACACCTATCTGAAACAAACCCTGCTTTTCTGCTGCGGGGTCCTCGATCTTTTCCTGATTTTGGATTCTGTTCAGCAGTTTGCATCTTCTGCTCATGCAGCAGCTGCTGAAGTCGCCCATAAATTTATCGTTGCCAAGACAACGAGAAGCAGTTTTAAGCAAAGTAGTAAGTGGCTTTCCACAGCCTTTCTCAGTAGTATTTCTTCTGCAGGGGGGATTAGTCAGTGATTCAGTACAAAGGCTAGTCAGGTGCGATCCCGGGAGAGCAAAGTTGAGGAGTCAATTTTAAAACAGACAACCTGGGTCCAAAAATACAGAAATCAGCAAAATAATCTCAATCTGATTCCCTAATAGTAGGCCCAATGCTATTCCTGTTCAAGCTACTGGCAAAAGCCCTGCTAACACAGATTCCTGCGTTTCAGCAGAAACAGGCTCCGCGTCCAGCAGCACAGCACGACACCGCCAGAGAAGAAAAACTCCTCCATCCCTAGCTACTAAGCTATTCAAAGGAACTTAAAAAACAATCATAACAATAAAAAAATCATTATAGACACTTTCAGCAGACCCCCAAGAAAAAAGTTGCAAGTTGTTTTTTTTTTTTTGTGTGTGTGTTTTTTTAAATAAAAATAAAAAATCCTGGGATGCCAACCAAGCCTCTCGAACAAACTAGTTTGGTAGCAACCTTCACGTGCTGAATGAAGAAAGGAGATCTGATGTCAGAGGTTACTTCTGGAGATACAGTCTAACCGAGGGAATAGCTGGAACTTAAGCCTTGTTTATAGTAAACTAGCTGGATACCAGACCTTAATGATTCACTGCTTTAGAGCTCTGGCTCTTGAACAATCGAGACCAGGATGATGTAGGATTACACAGAAGGAACATAAACCATTTAAGATAACCATTAGTTAATTGTGTGTTTTAGTGTTCGCTACCGACGTGAATAAAGGAATCATTTAGGAAAAATTGCACTCACCGATTAAGTCAAAAACTTGGCGATTCTATATAATACTAACTTGTACACAGAAGGCATTAGGAAACTGGGAAATGGGCTTTTAGGTGTTTCTTAGGATAATTGAGACAGAAAAGCATCCTGTTAAGGGATGGGACAGCAGAAAGGACCATAAGCCAGCTTCTAGCCTAGTGCAGTAATAGTGTAACAAACAGGAGCTATCTATTAGCAAAACGTTTGTTTTTGAGCTTTGGTTTTGCACTTCAGTCACTTGGCTCTGAGCAACGAAGCAAATTCAGAAATGCACTCAAAAGCGAGGCTGTTTATGAACCTGCAGCCTGCTCGGATAACATCTCGGGTGGCTGTTATCTTTCACTACGCAAGCCAGTGTTCCTGAACTAAGGGCCAGCCTGTCACGGAGCTTGCTTTCTTTAATGCCAAAAGCATACATAACCTCCCGGTCTGCCTCTAACGCCTGGTTTACTACATCACCATGCTCTCCACATTCAAATCAAAACATTAGGGGAAAACAAGGCTTGTGCTGCTGTGTTTTTCCAAGCAAAGATAATGGAAGGGGTGGCGCTGGAGCGACAGCATCCCAGGACCACGGGAGATCCATCAGAGCAGAGGTCACTGCCAGCAGATTTGGGGATTTGGTTGTCAACATTAACGTAAGTTATGTTCCACAAAACGGCCACCCCAAAATCGATCAGAAAGCCTGTGGGTTTTTTGTAGGCTATTCAGAATGAATGCACTGCCTCTCTAAAATAGCAAGGGCACGCTGGGATGGTTGGTGGACACGGTCAGTGCCTGCTTCTGACACTGCCCTGCTGCAGTCACTCTTCCTACTTTAAACTCCCCGGAGCGACATTTCACTCTAGACCAAGTCTCTCAACGTTAAAACTTAAGAGACCAGCTTCTTAATGAGTTTAGGAGCAGAAAGAAGAACCCCAAATGAATCAGAATTAACAACACCGAGGAAAATAACATTAAAAGGCTATTACTAAAGGAAAAAAAAATTGGAATTAGTCCCACCTAACATCAGCACAGAGAGCTCAGACAGATTCCTAACTCCCACCACCAGCAACAGCGTGCAAGTACAGTGACCAGCTTCAGGTGAAGAGCTTAGAAGAGGAAGAAGCGTACTCTAACCTCTAGTGACTGTATTGATTAGCTTTCTACTAATTACAAAAGGAGCCCAACGCATATTGCTCCTTTGATAGATGCCCGAGACCAGGTGAGGTGAATCCCACCCTGAATACCACAACTAATGAACTGCCGTGTGAGTCACATGTGAGATTTATTTCGAGAAGCTGCATTATGTTTACACAGTGATAAAGAGAAAAAAAAAGCCAAACCTGCTTTTCTTAACTAAAAAAGATGTGTGCATCTTCACGCTGTGAGAAGGTCTGGTCTCCTTTCTTTAACCCTTGCTTCTACTCCTCTCAGTCACATCTGAACCCAACCAAACCAAATGTAAAAGAGGAAGAGAGCACACACACAGGATTCCCAAACACATGAAAACTGAGGATGGGTTAAGAAGGAAAACCTTCAGCATCTCCATCAAAAGACAGCTTCAAGAGTGAATAAACCCTCCATCCAGCTTGCCTGCTCAACACACCATACGCTGCTTTTGCCCCAGCTCTTAGCAGATGTGAGACGAATGCTAGCATTGTCTGCAACAAGTAAAGGGAAAAAAAAGACACGTGGCACAAGAAATATCATGGTTAGGCTCAGAGCTCAGGGAATATTGTCACTGGAGAGCAGCGTTATCATGGGGCACGCTTGTACTGAATGCAGGACGCAAATCTCCAAGAAAGCAGACTTCATTAGTTCCGTTGCTCAGGGAACAACTTGTTTGCTTATGCAACTATTGTGCATGCATTTACCCTTCCAGCCACTCTGATGCAGGCCTCCACGTTAGCGTGTTGTTTTCAATCCACGCTGTGGTGCTGTGTGATCTAATCATTCTCAGAAAATGGAGTCAAACATCAAAGTAGCTGAAAACCTTTTGAATTCAGGAACTTACTGTCCAAACAGCCTGTAAGATACTTTGAAAAGTGTCTGCGTTGTATGAATGATACACAAATATTCCACCCCAGATGCTGCTTTTATGTCCTGTACATCGCTCCTGTCTCTCCATCCATAAATTGTAGAGCGTATTTTCCTACCGCACAGATGAAGCAGCTATGATCGTATTCACACTTGCAACCAAAGAGGCAGAATATGCTTTTAAGCACGTAAGTAAATAAATAAATAAAAAGCTTCAGCGTGGTGGTAATAATAATGTTTTCAAATTAGGAACTGCTGGACTAAAGTTGTGTATGGATTTATTATTAGTGCTATATGTCAACTACCTTCTCCATTCCTCTGTCGGTGATGGGCGGGTTTGTACATGCTTGCCAGCTATAACTTACCCTCCCTAGTTAAAAACATATCCGCAGTCTCTTCTAAAGGCTTCTAATGTAACAGCGTTGTATGAGGTCGGAATTAGGTGTTTTTGAAATACGTGACTTGTCAGATTGCTGCAAAAAACGAGGCTGTCTCAAAGGTACGCCCCGCTTTACTCCCTCAGTATCACCCCCGTTTTAAAAATGCCCAGGATTGCCTCGTCTGCACTTGATGCAATTCTCTTGCTGTGGCCTTTTGTGATGGGGAAGCTAACAGGTAGACTACAGGATGCGCTATGTGATAGACAATTTGAGCATCTAGTTACTTCTCTTCAAATAAATATGTTCCTCACATTAAAAAAAAATAAAATGCAACTGCAATCATTGACATTAAAACCTTCCACTAGAGCAGTTTCTTAAGGAAGTTTATTCAATGTTACCCACCAAAAGCAGCTCCTAAGGCTTAAACTCACATCAACCATTAATTTCACGAGCTCGCCACCTCCAATTCACCGCCTTTAGATCCCTACCTCGCATTCTACAAGTCGCTGTTTAAGCGCAGATCCCTACCTTCGAGCTTTATCCCCCTTTAATACCCGCGGCTTTGGAAGATTACCTACAAGTATTCCTGCGGTTAATGACAAACCCTCCCGACTCGAAGCCTCGCCACGCTACGAGCCTCTTGAAACTGGAGCTCGTTTTCAAACCAGCCTTAAAAGAGAAGCGTCGGGGAGCCCCAAACAGCCTCTTGTACCCCCCCAGGAGCCGGGGAGGCCCTGACAGAGGAGGGCAGCCCGGGCAGGGGCAGCACCCTGACCCCCTCGGCGTGTGGAGAAGCAGCCGAGCGGCGTGCCCGTGAGTAAACACCGCGGCAACCCGGGCACCCAGCGGGGGCCCCAAGCCCTTCCAGCCTCCGTCCTGCCCTCCCCGCTCCAATCTCGACCTCCTCCGAGCCGCCCCCTACCCCCTCACGACCCCTCAGCACTTTGAGGCACGAACACCCCCCGACCACCACCACCACCCCGCAGCGAGCCCTGAAGGTCACCCGAGCCGCTCCCGGGCTGAGGAGACCTCCGGGCCCCTCCGGCACCACAGGGACCCGCAGGCCCCGACCGAGCCTTCCCCGGGGCCGCCGTCCCCACCGCCGCGGCCTGGGCTCGGCGGCGCTCGCCAGGTCCAAAGGGTGCTGGCGGCGGGGACCCAGCCGCCCGCCCGCCCGCCCCCTCACGGCGCCGGTGCCCCCCCCCCCACAACCCTACCGCCCGCTTTAGGCCTCGCCCCCCCCTCCACACACCCCGGCTCCCCTACTCACTCTCCCCGCGGCCTCGGCCGCAGCAGGCCGCCAGCAGCAGCACCACGGCCCCGGCCAGCGCCGCCGCCGCCGCTCGTCTCGGTGCCATGCCCGCGTCCCTGCGGCCGCCGCGGCTCGGCGCGTCCCGGCTGGGGCGAATCAGAGGCCGCGGGGCGGGCGCGGGGGCCGGGCCGGGCTTCGCATCGTCGGTGAGGAGACCCGCTGAGGGCCTCACCCCCCCCCCCCCCCTCACCCTCCTCCCCTTCTTTTCCTTCTCCTTCTCCTTCTTCCCCTTTAATAGCGGCCGGCTGAGGGAAACGGGGCGGCCCCCTGCTCCTCCCCGCCGGTCCCCGGTGAGGCGTGAGGCCGCTGCCGCCTCGCAGCGCAGGCCGGGCTGGCGGCTGCCTGCTTGCCCTGGCCGGTAAACAAGGGGCTGCCCCCGTCAGCTGGGAGAGGAGAGGAGCGGGGCGGCGGCAAAGGGCGGCGCGGAGCCGGGGCCGGGGCTGGGGGAGGAGCGGAGGCGGTGGCGGCGGCTTCCACCTGCCGGGCCGCGGCGCTGAGGGAACGGGGATCGGGGACGGTCCTTTTTCAAGGGGAAAAGAGGCGATTTTGGGGGGGTTAGGGGTAAAGATCAGGCTGGGTTTGGGCCGGGTGGTGCTGTGTGAGGGCAGGGGGGGCAGCGCTGAGGAGCCATGTCAGCCCCTTTCTCCAGGGGGATGCGGCGTCTGATGCGTTTTCCTCTTATTTTATTTTTTTTTTTATTTTTTTAATCCTCTGCGCTTTGTAGTTGCACTAAGCCCTCACACTATGGTTCCTGGCAACTTCCAGTAATTTCACCTGGCGCTTACTCTCACCCATTTCTGGGAGATAGAGTTACATAAACTGCAGGAATAAAGCCTTTTTTTCATTCAAAAACACTTAGTAAATACAGTCGTCTTCCCAATCTTTGCCACACCATCAGCTTTCAACAAACCCCGCTTCTGTATTGCATTTCTTGCTCATTAATGGACCATGAGGCAGGCCATGGGTGAGTGGAGCACCAGAACTCTGCCTTGGCTCCACTTTCTGGACACCAAACTGCTTCAAGAGAGTTTGCAATGTTTTAAACGTTTGTGTTAACTTTGCCATTTAAAGAATTGCCGCAGTTGCCACAGGGATATTGCATAGTTGTGAATGGGAGGAGGAATGGGCTATGAAATCACAGCTATTTTAGCCGAGCTCATGCTGACATTCTTTGAGGTTTCCCAGTTGGATGGGACAAGGTCAGGGGCCTGATTCTACTGAATCACTTCAGCGTAAACAATATCAACCGTGATGGTACCTGCGTAGCAATAACTACATCTTACCCTTTGCAAAGTATTTAAATGTTTAGATGAAAGGGCCTGGTTTAAGTGGGGATGCCTTCTCTTGTGATTGTTACAGCAAGAGACAATGTGTATCTGCACAGCACGTTAGCTGTTGATCGAGCCTGTTGGTGTGTGGCAACTGCCATCGTGGGAACACATTTTCCTGTTGCCATTTTCTCAAATGTTCCCTTCTACTTACAACTCACAGGTGCAGAGGAGACTCAGAACTTAACTCACTTCTCTAAAGAGTGCTCCAGGAAGTAAGGACAGCAAAGGAATGGAAACAGACACCAAAACTATACGTTCTGTGCTTGCAAATTAACCTGCCTTATGACTATAGACTTTGCATAAAGCAGAGAGAGCCAAACATCAACGAGACAGTTTGGGCTATGTGGAATTTATAATGTGACTGTAATAGCAACCTACTTTTGCTTACTCACTTATGTTCTCATTGCCTTTCATGTAATAATGATATCAGCTTACAGATTGGCACAGGAGGATTAAAGGCTACAGATTTATTATCTTTTGCTAAAATACTATTTTTAGTTTCTAATTACTGATTAAGAACATCAGCGTGCAATCTTTCCAGCATCTTTCCCATACAGTCACTGCTACATATTCATCATGCTACAGTACACTAGTTTTGCAATCAGATAAACCAACAGTAGCAATGTGGGCTCTAGGAAACTAAGCCAGCACCTGTTTGGTAGTTTTTTTCTAGTAGCTGCAGTTCGTGATCTTCTCTAACTTCCAATTTCAGAAACTCTACTAAAAATCACAAGTTTGATATATTAAATACAACTCCTTTCTTAAACAACATTAAGAGTTCTTTCTCCCCACCACATGTATGTTTTAGTTAAAATAACTTATAAATAAGCAGTGAGAAATGCCTAAGAGCTGTGACAAACTTTTGGGGATTCATTTCTGAATCAGCCTAAAAAAATAACTATATAGAGTCTTCACAGAATCACACTATCTATCTACTAGACCCCACTAAGACTATTTTTGTCAGTTCCTTACTTAAATAAATCTAAATCTCTGGCTAGAGAAGCCAAAGAACATGGGTATGGAACTTGGAAATAATATTGTCTTTTCTGACCTTCAACATTTTTTGATACAGGGAGAGATCTACAATTACAATACTTGATCAGTGTGCATTTGCATGAGGTAAAAAAATATTTTCTGGAGGACAAAATTTACAAAAATGTACAGAGTATTAGCCAGCTTACTATTTGTGTCTATGGGAATCCCCAGTGCATTTGGAAGGCGGTCTTTTCCCTTTCACGCTATTTAGAAAATCAGTGTAACAAAATTTGTACGGTACTTTCAGAGCTGGAACCCAAAATGTCCCCCGTTGTAGTGTTTTCCTGAAAAACATTTTTTTTTTTTTTTTTTTTTGCCTTCTTTGGAATTTCAGCTGAGATAATATATAATAAACATCTTGAAATACTGTACAGTGTGAAAGCAGTACATCACGAGATAATGCTGTAAGTTTACAGGCCCCATCAAAAGCCTTGTTTCTTTTGAAATCCCCCCAAAAAACTGTCCCATTATTCATCTTTGCTCTATAGTTACTTCACAGCTGCCACGAATCACAGGACAGACTAAAGATACAAACAAAGCAGATAAATAGCAAAATACAGCTGTATGCCCAGCATTGCCTTTCATAAAGGTGCGTAACGTCTGCAGGGTCAGCGACCTCCAAACCACGGCCTTCAACGCTTAAAAAAAAAATGCAGGCCCTTATCCTTTGCTTATTAACAAATTAACAAAAATACAATAGTCAAGGGCTATGGGCATGCGGTTATCATGCACCAACACTTGTTTCAGATTGTTATTTTAACATGACACATCTGGTACAGCCTCAAGTACAGAAGAAGTACTTTGACGTATATTGTTGTCCCTCATCCCCCACGGATGCGTCTTCTCCTCTCCCTCCCCCCAAAAATCGTGCCAAACCTTGAACTAGTTTTTGTTTTTGCATTCTACGTGCATGGTTTACGGCAGCCCACAGAGGCTCAAAACAATCTTTCTGCAGCCGTGTCCCAAGCTTCCTTTTCTGAGACTGCAGAGTTGGAAGTCATGCCACCCTGCCCTCCGAATGCCCCCCTGTCGAACCAGCCCAACTGTGCTGACATTCTAACCAGATCCCAGCCCCTCTGGATCAATGCTGCTAGGACTTGAAGTCCTTGGAAGCTCGCCCCAGGCAGTAACATCCCTAGAAAAGGAACCACTTTTACACGAGTGAGCTGGCTTGCATTGAGTATGGAAGATGACTTCATCATAAGCTGGCTCAACCTCACTCCCAACCTTCTGAGAGGGCTGAGACTGCTTGCCTTATCCCCATCCCCATGTAGCTTTCCCCTGTTCACGTTAACAAAGCTGAGGACGAGCTGTTTAGGCACCAACAGCCCAGTTCTTCAAAGTGTTATCTCCAGGGCCTGCTGTCTGCAGCAGCGTGGACGTACCCAATGCAACAGCCTTTGCACGCTGCCCTCGGAGCTCTGTCACATCCTTGTATTGGCAACTACGTGTGGAGAGATAACACAGCTTGGCTTCCAGATCGCCGAGATACTGAGCTAGGCCGAAAGCTCGATGGCCTGAAAACGAAACGTCTTTTTCGCATGAAACACACACCGGAACCAAACACTGCAGACGTCTGTGTTTGGGCGAACTGGCTTTTTGTTTTTGTTTTAGCCAAACAAGAGTACTTGAAGTTCCATGCTAATTAGTCAGTTTATGAATATTCAAGGAACACAAAGCCTTCCACCCAAAAGGACTTACAAGAAGGTACCTTGGTAATAATGCTGTTTTAAAAACAAGAGTTGGAAACTAGTTCAGTGACCCAAAGCCTAGCAGCACGCCAGAAGGCAGAACTGAAAGTCAGGATTATCACTTTCTGCTTCATTCACCATTCAGCGTTTCTTACAAACAAGTTCCAATTACCTAGGTGAATAGTTACCCACAGAAGTTAGGGAAGAAAAGGGGTCCACTTAGAATCCTGCTCAGGTTGCCGGATTTTTATTGAGTAAAATTGATTTGTCAGGCTTACTTCCCCGCTCACAAGTTTCTCACCATGCAGCGTACACATTATTCAGCCTCCTGTCCTTTGAAGATGCAGAGGAGCTGCTGTCGAAGCCAACAATAGCTAAGGCTCTGCATCACTGGCAGGATGTCGCTGTAAAGGTTACAGAATTGACTTCTAAGTGACTAGCCCAAAAGCTGAGAATACAGGGGAGCTGACCTTGGAAAATTTATCTCATCCTGTTTAGAGTCACACAGAACTATTTGCCAAATCTCCTAATATAAAATATTTCACGTCACGGATTGACAAAGTTCCTTTCTTACCCTTCCTTCCGTCCACACCAAATCCGATAAGTGAACGCTCTCTTCTCGATGGGAGAAAGCTCAGAGGATGAAGGTCCGGTCACTTTACGTGCTAAGGACAGAAGTCCCTTTTTTTTTAATGCTGAAACAGGAAACTCTGTCAGATCCTTCTGGACAATTCTATTGTTATATTACCAAATACAACCTTTGCTTAAGGTGAAAGTGGCAGAGGGCATCTCTGCCACATCAGTTCAAAGGAACTGGAGATGAAAGAGGCAAAGGAAATCGCAGCACCCCGTGGCCTGCTGCAATGCTGCCCTGTTTTATCCTCAGTTTTCATCCAGTCTGAATTTTGGATGTCACAGAAGCAGACGCGATATTCAACTTGCTTTCCATTCCTTGTCAGAAAGTTTTCGTTTTGATTCAGCATCAAACTATTCGACTAGATTTTTCTTTACTGGTACAACCACAAGTCAGTGCTGGTAACCTGCGTGTAACGAGCCCAGCTGCCTAGCAGCCAGGCGCCCAGTTGGCCTTCACCTCCCTCTGGCCCCGCCACCATTCTTTCCTACAGCTCCTCACAGCACACCTAAGCCAACCCCGCATCCAGTTTGCACAACTTACACCACTGCTGCCAGGCATGCTGTTCTCTATCAGCAGCCACGTGCAAATTAGTGGCTGCAGCAGCGTCACTCTCTAATACATAGTATGGGCACGCTGTGCCCCAGGCGACCGACTGGCTACACCAGTTCTAATCTAGACTTCACTTTTTATTATTATTATTATTAATGCACTTTTTTTTTTTTTTTTTTTCTCTAATCCACACGTCAAAATTGGAGGGACAGCCCTCTGGGCAGCATGGCAGAGTTCAGCAAACCGTAACTCTATGCTTCACTCTGCTTTATCAAACGTTTTGCATTTTAGACACAGAACTTCGAGTTCCCGTTTTGATAACCAGTTTGTTCTGTAGCTAGGAGACACACCCTTTCTTTGTAAATGTTACAAATCAAGCATATCTAATCCATTATTCACTAGCTGCTGCTGCTGCTTCCCACTTCCATCTCCTATTAGGAGGTAGCGCTCGTGCCAGAAATGTCACAGTGGTCTCATGTGACAGGTGGTATTGATTTAGCTTCGTTGGTTTTTAATGTCACTCCTGTTCAGTGGGAACACACGGTGAGCGCACACCAAGCCGCAGCAATGTGGCAGATCTGGACAAGAGCTATCAGCCAGTCCCGCACTGGGTCGTAGGACTCTGGAATGGCATCAGCACCCTGCTGTAGGACGAGAGATCTGATTATTATTTTGTGCTCCTATCTGCTATGTTATTATGGTTGAAATTTTTTTCGTGCTTGTAACTATCGATCGTAAGACTTGGATTTTGAGGTTTTGTTTCAGGTTCTTCGAACAAGAATGGAGGTGACTGGTCCAGTATCACACAATGAGCAGTCACAAACAGACCTTCACCTGCCCACACTCTCCTCTTTTACTAAATGTCCCATTAGCAGAGTAGCTGACAGCTTTAGAAAGCTGCTCACAACCTATCAAGTCTGATGCACAGAAGCTTTGTAAAATAAATTCAAGGAAGCGTATGTGCAAAACAAGCTTAGCGATTACCCAGCCATAGCAACCACTGTATACAGTATTCTGCTCCTACCATTCGTGCACAGCTTATCTACTGTGAAAATCCTTCCAAATTATCAAATCCAGCTGTGGCTGAAGACACAGCTTAATCATATGTATTATATCTAAGAGTCTGTCACCAGGAACATTTGCCAGAAAAGCTTGGAGTGACCCATAGTTACCGTTGCTGCCAGTCTCAGAGGCACTGCATTCACCAGCCTGACGTGACCCAAGTCTCTAAAACATTATTATTATTTTTTTACTTGCTGCCTGAAAGTAGCTAGTCTGCCAAGAAGCCAACCAAGGCCCAGCCCTATGCCCGATAAACATCTCTCCATTCGGATTTCCCAAGCTTTTGGGAAAGTTAGGCAATTCTCACTTCACAATGTTTGCAACCCTCTGCAAGCCATTTCTATATATAACATTATCCTGTGAGGAGAAGCACATCTGAGCCCCATGCTATGAAACTGAGCTGAGGTCTGAAGTCACAGATCGTACAACCTCCACCCATACCTTAGTCAAAAATAAAAAACTATCACTCCATCTACGAAACGTCGCAAAGCCATGAGTGATTGTTTGTTCTAAATACTGCTGGCACAGATCTTCAAAGTGTTTTTGAATTACTATAATTACTAAATGAACTTCAGAAAAGCAAAGGCTGCAACTGCCAATTGACAAAGCAGTCATTGTGTGCAGGCAGATTGCTGGCCACTGAGGCAATTAATCCGTTTGGTTTGCCAGTGCAGAAGGTAACATTCTTCCACTGGGTCAGAGGTAACCAGCAGCTCAGTGCAGTGCTGGAGGCCCTACGCTCAATGGTCATGCGAGATAGCACAAAAGGTGTCAGTAGCTATGGAATTCAATCTCCATTCCCCCCGTTTATCCATCAAAATAACAAACACCTATGAAATGTCAGTGGTCTAAAGTTAAATATATCTCTTTCTGATTTTCTAACATGCTTCTTTGTATAGGAATTGCTGCTGACTTGGAAGGCTAAATGTTTCCTGGGGGCTACCACTGGTAATTCCCTTCCAGCTCAGCTCTTTTCAACTGAACTGCTAATTTAGAAGTGCTAAAAAGTTACGTGGTCAGTAGCAAAATTCGGCTTTAAACTTGTCTGCAATGAAGCACCACATCTTTCGCAAGCTGGAAAAAAACGGTTTATTTCAAGTATTAAAGGGGAAATGTTATAGACAATGATGAAGGATTAATGGTGTATCATTCCACTATCTCACACAAAAAATTCCAGTTGTGCATTCAACCTCTGCTGTAAAAGAACAGCTCAGCACTGAAATGCCTGCAGGCAAAGTAGTAAACAATTAGAATTCAAAAATAGTTTGGTGACCCAGCACTCACTAACGAAGCACAGTGAAAAGTCAAACATTTCCCAGAAGTTTTTTATGAACTATAAAGTACAAATGTCCATAAATGGATTGCTACAACTATAAATTTCTATTAAGTTCAAGGTAAGTAATAGGCTTCTGGAATGGAATCAGCATTACCACATAGATGAGCAGCTAAAGTGAAAAGCTGTACTTTGCTGTATAATTACTCATTTGGTAATTATAAATATCTGGCATAATAAATTTGAAGCATGCTGTTAAATGAACAAAAATATTTTCTGTAAAATTGTTAATTGTCTTCATTAACACGATGTTTTTGAAAGAAGCAAAGAGCAATTCTGAAACAGTGTGTCCCCTATACCGGGATACATTCAAAGAAGCAGCTGAACTTTCCTAAGAACTCAGCTGTGACAAACACAGCTTTTCCTTCACCTTCCTTTTGCCTAGGGCTGCTGCGATGACCAAACAGAAAAGCATAAAATACCCCATCTAGTGGTTATAGACAGCAATCGAAATGGCAAAGGAAGATTTTGGAGTAAAAGGCTTGCTTTCTCAATATGAAACACTGTAAAAATGAAAACACCAACATTTTACAGATTGATGCTCCAGGTTTGCTTCTAACTTATCACAAGCTCCTGAAAACTGCTCTTAAACTGATACAGGAAACCTTTCCTGCAGGCTCTAATTTTTTCCAGTATTAAGTTTTCAAAATACTGTCTCTAGTTTATTTCAATCTTTATTTCCTTGCAGTAAGCTCTTAAAAAATACTACAATTGAGAAAAAAACTCCTGACCAGAAGAATTTGTCTCAAATGGTAGTGGCTGTTTCTTTTTTCTTTTATTTCTGTCTTGAAGATACCAGCCTCCCTTGCCTTCCTCTTACAGTGAAAAAATATTTGTACAGGTGAGGCCTATACCATACGGAGAGTACTGTGTGTACTGTTCTACGGTGCCAGGGTCACAATGTTTTCTTGATGCAAGAGCATCAACATAACTGCCACTGAGCGAGAACATTTGTGCATACAAAAAGGGGAGCAAACATTGCGACTGCATGCAAATTCAGCCCTTCTTCTAAACTGAAGACGACTGCAAAAACAAACATTGATCTGGGAAGAAGGTGAGCCTGAGAATAATTTTACCTGTCGACACTCTCTGAATCCAAGCCAGGCTAGCAACTCAATAGCAGCGTTCTTTTCCTACACCCTACAGCTGTATATGTACACAACCTCGTAATTAAATATCCTGTTGGCAGCAAGATCCTAGTTCAGTACAGTAAAGCTGTAAAAAAAAAATTTAAGACTTCAACTAAGCGTTATTTATATTCCTATTGAGTAAATGCCTTTTACAGGAGTCATAACGTTTGCCACAACCACATTAAAAAGAGAAGACTATCTATCTGAAACTTGTTCAGAGCTCAGTGTAAACTGCTCTTTATCTCTGTTCTTTCCTCAGTAGGCACTATCAACTAATTAGAAAAAGGAACCAAGTATCCAAACACAGAAAATGCTCCCCGTGGTTTCACTGAATCCACTGACTGCACAAGAAAGGTGCAAGGGTAGGCCTTGGACAGCCTCCTTCAGGATGTGACAGGTGGTAAGAATTGATTACAGACATTCATCACACCATTCGAGCCTTTCAACTATGCTTGTGGCAGTTTTTTACAAAATCATTTTAGTTTTGGGAAAATTCTGATAAAGAGAATCATACTGATGAATATAAAACAAACTACAATTAACATTATCCATAATAGCCAGTTGACTGATTTCTTTGCATGCTGTTCGAGGCGGTCGGATTCATCCTTGAGCTTCTCAAAGTTCTGGTCTGCCATCCTGAGAGAATGCGATAGTGTCTGGGAGGCAAAGAGAACAAATGGTGTATCAGGTGACATACACAGGCAATAAAATGCACTAAGCTTGCCCAGGATTTAGATGAAATGCTGCTGGCAAACCTGAATGGTGGGAACTCTTATCATGTGGGGATGACTGTACTACCTGTGACTGAGTTGTAAAAACAAGGTCCTAAACAAATGGATTTAATTTACTTTAAATTGTTCCGGTTTTCAAAGTCAAGTACCAGCAGTTCCAAATATGATATCATTTACAGAAGCTTACCAGCTCCTGCAGTCAAAACCCTTTCAGTTTCAGGCATTCCAATTTGAAAGTTCTCACCACTGCTTCTTACAACACAGAAAAGGTTCAGTTACACTACAGAAGCAGACATACTGCCTGCGAATCCCCCCACTCTAATCTAATCTGGAAGCAAGTTACAGCTATTGTTTTTAGTATAAGTTACAGCTATTGTTTTTAGTATAGCTGCAGTTTAACCTTCTAGGTTGCAAAAATGAGTTTAGCACCGTAACGTGTGCTACCTGGTTATCTTGTTTTATCACGTTCTGTGCAGCCAGAGTGTTGTTTTTGAGACTGCGAGCCAAACTTAGCATTTCTTCAGCTAACTTCTCCTGCATGTCCTGGTGGTGCTGTAACACAGCATCCAGCTCAACTGCTGACTGCTTCTCATCAGACACAAGGCCTCTGCAAGAGCACAAGGAAAAACAGATTGGAATTTGTACTTTCTTGTGGGTTGATCTCCCAGTGTTTCCCCAGACTCCGCAACTCTGACAAGACAACAAGAACACGTAAATCAGATGGTCATTATATTTAGGTTTCTACCAACAGGCACTTCACCCAAACAGCAGTTTGCCTGTGATTTAAAAGTCATTGGCAAAGCAGTTCCCAAAGCACCAAGTATCAGAATGAGAAACGTTGACTTACTTCCGCTTCCTTACGTTCAACTCTTCAGAATCTGGAAAACAAGTAAAATTTGTGTTTTGGCATACTATAAAATCCCATGTAATCATCGGCTGAAGAAACAAGTTCTCTGTGAGGGATTTTCAGATGTTCAAAGATTTAATCCCACTTGACCCTCTATGCCAGGGAATATGGATTTCAAATGCCTACCTGCTTTCCACAGGGAAAAGAGAACTCATAAGATCACACGTTTGGTTGAGAGAGAAAAAAAAACAGATGAATCATATCCCTGAGGGCATGGTTTAAGCCCGTGTGTTCTTTTTCTTGGTGTTCTCTTTCAGGACACGTTAGATTGGCCTAGTTCCAGCCACTGTAACAGTAGCTATGGAAACCACAAATTAATTCCTACCGGTTCCCTAGATGAATAACATGGCTGTATGTTTCAGCGGAATTAAACACCACCTACTCTGAGCTGCTATGGTCACGTGATTTATGTAGACCAGAAGAGAACAGGGGCAACAGTAAACATAAACTGTTCTTTCTAATGCTACAATTCTTTCCCTGTAAGACTCAGGTCAACTAAAGTTAGAGAGAACAAGAGATTAAACTTACCACTGATAGCCAAGGGATCCTAGAAAGCAGAAAGAGAAACAAAACAGATTACAGTGGGCAAGTGAAAATGCTTGTAATGTATTCACAGCCACCAAAGGCAGCTGAATGCAACAAGAAAATCTATAAACTGACAGTAAAGAAGCAGCAGCACCAAAACATACTGTACCAAGCAGCTCACTCCTCATCTTGCCTGTGCAACGAGCTTTTGTCTGCAGATGAACCGTTTTGGTAGCTGGGGTTCTCTCTTTGGTCGTTGTAGGTGTACGCCCAGGGGCCAAGAACTGATTTGCCAGCGCCTTTTCAGTTGATGAACTCTATATTTAAGAAGAAACAATGAAAAAAAGTCACAAACATCACATCCTGCAGCATGAGGCCACCTGGATATGTGGCCAACATATTGAGGAAGCACTTCCACAGCTGCTTCACACAAAACAGTGAAGTCAATGTGAACAGCACTGACAGTATCAGCTCATTGGCATTTTGTAGATCTCCAGATCCACACGGTACTGTACAAGAGGGATGAGGTACAAGAGGTAATGTACAAGAGGGATGAGGCCTAACAAACAGTACCTGCCCCTAGATTTCACATCACAGGAGCAGGGAAAATACTGGCAAGATGCATTCTGTGTTTTTTGAAAAGTCAGAAAGAAGTTTCAGGATTCATACAATACCACCTTTTAACAAAATACAATATATTAATTCATATTTTATCAGGGACTACCTGATCAGATCTTAAACAAGTGTTATTTTGAGACATAAGATGAAAAGAAACATAGAAACAAGGCAACAAGGAACAAATAGGTGGATAATACTTTTAAAGTCTTTTCAAGCTGAACTAATATATCTTACCAATTTTTCAGCTTCTAGAAGTCCCTTTAGAAAGTCCACTTTGCGAGAGTATTCATTCAGCAGTTCTGGGGCAGGCTTACTATTGGAATTGAAAAAAACACAACAATGAACCAATGATAATCAGTAAGCCTCAGTGTTTTCTATTACTTAAGATAACTTTTCAAATTAAACAAAACAACACATGGTTCTTCAAAGAATAAATAGCCCCAAGCTAGGAACACTCCTACAACTCCCTACGAGTCACCTTTTCCAAGGCACTGTGGATGCTGCTGGCTCAAGCCCACAGCACACCCAGAGGTGCACGGACACAGTGTGAGGCCAAGACCTGATAATCTTTGAGGTAGGTTCCAATCCTTCTATGATTCTACAAAGGAAATGTCTGCAACCGTGACAGAGCCGCACAGCTCCTTGTGGTGCTGGGTTGTGCCTGCTGTACACACACAGTTTCCCCTAAACAGACAGGTATCTCCACAGGGAAGCGTACATATTCCTGGTGCTTGGGGGCTACGTTTTGCTTATAGGTAACAGACTGCTGGCAATACCGGTCACTCAGGTCTTCAAAGTGCTTCTCACCTGGACTGCTTCTTCAGCTCTCGGAGCATGTCTTCAAGAGCAGCCACGTACTGAGGAGAAAAAGTTTTTTAATCGTCAGCATTAATGAGATACATTCTGCCTGGCAGAGGCTGCAACACGGCTAACAAGAAGGCTTAAGTTTTAACGCTATAAAACACCCGCTACCTCAGTTTATTTAGAGCAGCCGAACCGTATTACTGCGGGGCGAGGGGCTCCCGGGCCGCCCGCTTTTCCCGGCCGGCCTCGTCCCACGGCTCGCTGCCCCTGGACGGCCGGGCCTGCGCCTCACCTTCTCCAGCCGCCACTCCTCGGGGTCTCGCCGCTCCGCCGCCAGCGCCTCGCAGCGGCTCAAGAGCCGCATCAGGTTCAGCTCCAGCCGTGTCGCCGCCATGGCGGACCTGGGGCCACCGGAAAGCGCCTCAGCGCCGCTCCCCGGAAGGCGGGCGCCATCTTAGGGCGGGGCGGGAGGAGGCGCCATCTTAGGGCGGGGCGCGGGGCGGGGCGGCAAGTTGGAAAGATCTCTGCATGTTTTTATTAAAAAAAATAATAAAAAATCCCACATCTAAACCAAAAAATGTTCCCCACGCAACCACACAAGCCCCTACTAGGTCCGAGCAGCAGGGTGGCATCGACACAGCGTCCGCGATAGTGCTTTTCCCTCACTACTCTGACCTTTGAGAAGCAGCACCCAGCATCACCCACTTCAGACCAATTCCACAACTTTTTGTATGGTGCTCTGCTTTAAAGCCTTTTACGTGTTACTGTGCTTTGGCCTGAGGGATTTCACCACACAGATACGAATTGTGAGGGGCTGAGGTATCTGCACAGCATGAGCTCTATGCTGGACTGTGAATTTGGCTCAACGGGCACCAAAACACTTCATGGTGACACCAGTTTTGCCATTTGTGCTTCCCCTGTGTGGAGAGCTTTCCCAATATGATTTGAAGTGCTAAGAAAAAGCAATTCAAAGTAGTGGCTTCCCATCTAAGAATTTGTTCACTAAACAAAGCAGGTACTGGCAAAAGAACAATGATAAACTAACACGTATTTTTAAAAAGTGCAATGTATTAATAAACATTTTTATACATTTTGGTCTCCGTTAAGGCTATTACAACATTAACCGTTTTGTAAACCACACAAAGTTGTCATAAAAACATAAAAAATTTAAGGCAACACACATTGACGCAAAGTCACTGTTGGTCCCATTAGAGTCCATTGTAAGGCAAATGGAAAAAGGCACGGCAGCAGAATCAGGGGACATTATTTTTTTTCCTGTACACTCAATCCATGTATTTGACTCAATATAAGTTTTACGTTCTACTTCCTTGCAGGGTTTTAATTTAAAGTGAAGCATATTTATTTTAAACAACCTTGCTTAACCCTTACAGTACTGCATGTTTCCAGGCTGTCTCCCCAGCAGCCACTTAAAAGAACATGAAAAGTCCACAGACTCCAAAGGGTTAAAAACAAAGCTGCAGTCAACTTTTGAAAATCCAGACAGCTTAAGTATTTCATTCATCTGTACAGGGAATGTGGGAGTAAGGGTCCGAAAACCTCCGTTTTACTTTTGCTGTTGGTTCATATTCGTTCAAAAGTTCCTGAGCATGGGCCACGGCAGACCCTTGTGCAATGTATACAGAGTGGATTTTATCAGTTCGCCTTGCTGGCTGCTCCCTTCGTTTCACCACTATTTGAGACTCTTCATTAGCTGAAATCCTTCCCTGAGATTCTGTACATTTGAAAATCCCAGGAGGAAGCTTTATATTTGCTGTTGGCATCACTGGAGTTCGACGGGGCACTTTAATCTTGGACAGCGTTAAAGATAATCTGCGTCTTGAAGCCAGGGATGCAGAGGAAGAGCTTGAATAGGTTTGCAAAAGAGAAGGCACTTTGCAAATGTCTTTGGCAGGCATAGTGGAGCTCTGAGCACGGCAATGTAATCCAGAAAGTGTAATTCCTTTAAAGAAAAAATACACTGAAAGCATAAAAATGTAATTCGATATAAGCAGCTGTGACCAGACAACATCTGGTCACCTGGCTGGCTGTATGCAGTGAAATATGTAGAATAAAAAAAAGCACACACTACCTTAATACTGACCTTCGGTATCCATCCGTCCTGTTCTCTCCTCTAGCAGGCTCTCTGTGCTTGCTGAGGTCTCCGAGTCTACATTTTCCTCATCAGAGCCTCGCTGATCAAGCTCAGGTAACCGGTAAGTTATATCTTCCCTACATCAAAAGAGAGACCATAGCACTCTAGAAATAATGTCTCTGATATATATATATATTTTTTTTTTTTTAAATTTAAGCAGTACGTATTTCAGAGGTAAACCATCCTGAATAGAGTCATTAAATAATAATTTTCTTGTCTAGTCCTTCTCATTCTCCTTTTCACCTTCATAAAGGCCTATATAACATAATTAACTAGATCATTCAGAGACATGGTTTAATGGGTGACATTGGTGGCAGGAGATGGTTGGACCAGAAGATCTTGAAGGGCTCTTCCAACCTTAATGATTCTATGAGAAAAGTATACTGCTTTGCTGTCTGTATTAACTCCAACTGCAAAAGGGCATGACCTACAGAGATGGAGGGTTTTCAAAGCTGTTACTTACTTTTCTTCTTTTATCGACTGTAAGCGATCAATGAGAATCTCCTTTTCTCGGTTATCAGCTTCAGAAACCTCCTCTTCTTCATTCAGTGAGTCCAGTTCTGAGTTGCTACTGTCATTTCCTTTGACCTGTGGGCTTTTACTCTGCAAGGCAGTTTTATGAATTGGTCATAAGAAGCTACCCAAGTCCTGACTGTCTGCTAGTTCCAAGGTGGAAGACAAATGAGTAGGACAAATGAAAGGCTCGTGGAATTGAAGAGCTGTTAGTTACTCATACAAGTGTTTCAAAAGGTAATAGTTTTTCTATTCACCTGATTTCTGTGTGTTACCTTTTTTGAAGCATAGTAGTTTGATTTGCCAAACTAACCTTAATTTTAGCAGTTAATTATAAGCCAAATTATTACATCCAATACAAGTTATATTCAGCATATCTATAAAATACCAGAGCCAAGGCAGAACGGGTCAGCAGCACTGCATGCAGTCAGGGGAGAAAGTTTTATCAACACATGCAATCTCCATTGTTCAAGAGTTTTTTCAAACCAAGTTACAACACATGTAGAAAGTTTAGTCATGCAATAGTACCATAAGAAAAAAAAAAACATGCACTCTGAACGTAGGCAATGTACATACCAGCATCCCCTCATAAGGGGAAGAAAACCCAAGTTTTACAGGCCAGAGCTAGAGAGAGATAAAGACCAAATTCACTATAATGTGACTTCTGAGCAGTCAGAGGTGGTGGTGGTATTTGTTTTTTGAAACAGTACAATAAAAATAAAGCATATTTGCCCTAATAGAATGCAGCATACTTTTTGTCCACTCCACCTCTGGAGTGAAGGAACTCCTCTGCCATGCAACAGACTCCGCAATCTTAATTCTATTGATTTAATTATATGGAAATAGATTTAGACCACTATAAAAACAGACCCCCACTCCCACATCCTTTAATTATCAAACAGACTCCAGTACAGCTGTATATTTAGCAGCCACCTACAGTTTTGGGCAAGTGCAAATCCCTTTTCTTCTCTTCTCACAATTAGTCTTTGACTTATCAAAGAGGGTGGACAGGAAAAATAAGCAGCACATCCCCTCCCAAAGAATTAGTGGGATGCTTTCTGCTGGATGGTGTGGTTCTGTGGTTTATTTCAAAAACTTACCGTATTCTGCCGAAGCAACGAGAGTCGTCGAAAAGCAATGCTTTCAGCTGCTTCCAGCTGATTTATTTCATCCATTTTTATCTTGTACTTCCTTATCTGTTCCTTTATCAGCATCTCTACACACCTGGACAAAAGGGAAAGAGTTTATTGAGCAGTCTCATGCTATAAAAGCTCTGGGGACAACCATGGTGGGATGAGATGCCTCTCCTGTCTTGGGGATATTTCTCACACACACAGTCTGCAATCAGACTCTCCCAGTGGTGCTTTACAAGGGGCAGCACCGCATGATAGCAGGATGAAGAGTCTACCCACCACAGCAAGCAAAACAGGACACAGAGCATTGCAAGTAACAGCACATGCTCTGCCTGGAATAACTAGAACCTATAATGCTGACTCCACGCAACAGTGGCAAGTGAGCAGCCATAGTGATGTCTGTAAACTGCTTCTGTTTTCTCTGCATGATTTCCCTGTGCTGGTACAGATTCTAAGATACAAAATGATCCCGCAGCTGCCTTTTTCCACCTCTAAGCCCCTATAGGTAAGTTACAAAAAGCTGTCATTTTCCAAACTGTTTTCATTGGAGGACAGATATGCAGTGAGTCTTCAGAGAGCCAGAGCTGCTAGAGGGTGAGGAGAACAAAAGGGATCAAGGCCAGAACCTTCTTCAATTCAATGAAAACTCAGAAGGGGGTTTCCAAATAACAACTCAGAAGGGGGTTTCCAAGTATGCAGGAGTCAGTTTATACAAGTCATAACAAACAGTAGGGTATCTCAACAAGATGTATATGCTTAGTGTACAGTCCCTGACAAAATATTATGCTGATGTAAGATAGAAACCTAATTTATAAGACTTATACATCAGTGAATTTAAAAGTCCTGGAAAAAATTAGTTGGAACATTTTCTAACATGAGTATCTGATATAAACACAGATTATGAAAGTTAAGACTGAACCACAGTTCCTCATGTTTTTGTCAGCTAGAAGAGTTATGCTACACTGAAGTTTTGTCTCTTTCATAATACTAGGCAAATAACTAATCCTATTAACAAACATCCTATTTTATTCTTTGTAAATTTGAGACAGTTGGAAGGACTCAGACAAAGACATACAAATTGTCAGCACTAGCAGAGCCAGTATACAGTAACTTAGAATCCTCAGTTTCTCAGCTTGATGTGAATAAGGTTGTAACAAACTCAGGTGTCAGTAGTAGCCTTTCACCATGTTTTGAAGGCCTACTTTGCAGCAGGCTGCTAAAACTTACATGGTTGTTTTTGAAACATCTTTCATGCTGGTTAGAGGGTCTGAGGTATCAGGACAACGCAAGAGGCACGGAGCAAAAACAATGGCCAAGGCATTGGGTGACATACGGTTGACATCTTCTATCAGAGCCACTCTGAAATGCAATGTTTAGAAAAAAAATTAAGCGAAACTTGCCAAGCGAATATCAGCCATCTGGTCAAACTTTGCCAGAGTTTGCTAGTTCCCTAATACAGATATAAGGAGGCTCCTCGGGTACTGAGTACATACAACAGTACAAATAAGTGTTTTTAAATTGATTTCACACCTACTAAATAGAGAAGGTTTCATGCATAAGAAAAAGGAACAGAAAGCCACTAAGGTTAAGCATGTGTCTGTTTTTAAGCAGAACTATCAACTTCAATTCTTTCATTTTTAAACCAGCAATACAACCTCTACACCAACTC